GCCAAAGGATTCGAGTGGCGCGGGCGTTCTGGGAACAAAACTCGCGACGTCGCAGTGCATTTCGCGCGCGCGAGGGCGCTGGAGCTGGGGAACTCGCGGGCTACACAAGGATTCGCGGGCGTGGAATGTTTGAACTCGCGGGCAAGCAACATGTAACGGAAACTCGCGACGCAGCTGGATTTCGCGGGCGCGAAGGCGGAAACTCGCGGGCACTGGGCGACTCGCGGGCTAAGGGCATTTCGCGGGCTCGAATCCTGGAATTCCCGGGCACTGGGCTCCTTAGGCTCGATTAGCCCTAACTTCTCGCACACTTATCGGATTGACTTGAAATTTCGACCCACGCTTCTTAAATCTTTTTCACCTTGTCTTGGAATGTTCAAATCGATATCGCCGCGCAATTAATATATGCTCGGAAATGGTTCGTGTGGCTCGCACATGGTTCGGACGGCTCAACAATGTCTCGAAAATGGCTCGTCTTCCCAAACACGAACAATTTGGACCTAGTCAACACATAAAACATACGAAAATAAGCACAAAAACACAATAAACAGGAATGTGGCAAGGCGAGGTGCTGGATTGTCTATTCAGCAAGGCGTCGACATTGCAATGGAAGAAGAGAAGCCAACCAACGTTGAAGAGAAGGACTAGAAGAATATCAACCGCTTAGCATGTGGAACAATCCATTCATGTTTGTCGAGGGAGCAGAAGTACGCGTTCAAGAATGAGAGATCTGCTCACACTCTGTGGAAAGCTTTGAAGGATAAATTTCTGAAGAAAAGCGGCCAGAATAAGCTCCTCATGAAGAAGAGATTGTTCCGATTTGAGTACCGGCATGGCACATCGATGAATGACCACGTCACTGCATTCAATCAGCTGGTTGCAGATTTGTTGAATTTGAACGTCACATTCAGTGATGAAGATTTGGCTCTAATGTTGTTATCATCACTTCTAGACGACTTCGAGCACTTAGAGACTACTCTGCTCCATGAGAAGGACGATGTAACTCTTGCAGTGGTCAGTTCTGCTCTGTATTGCTATGAGTTGAGGAAGAAGAACAAAGAAGAGACAAAGAATGCAGTAAAAGAAGATGAAGCGTTGGTTGCAAGAGGTCGGTCGAAGAGCCAAAATAAGAATAGACGAAGAAGAGCTCGTTCCAAGGCCAAGCTTGAAAAAGACGAGTGTGCTTTCTGCCATGAGAAGGGACACTGGAAAAAGGACTGTCCTAAGTTGAAAAAGAAAGACAAATCTCCTCAAGATGCATATGTTGTCGATAGTGAAAGTGAAGACTCCGAATTTTCACTTGTTGTTTCACCATCATCATCTCATCTAGATGATTGGATTTTGGATTCAAGATGCACCTACCACACGTCTCCTATAATGGAGTAGTTCTTCAATTTTCAAGAGATCAATGGAGGGGTTGTCTACATGGGTAATGACAATGCATGTAAGACAATTGGGATAGTTTCAATCCGTCTGAAGAATCGCGATGGATCCACCAGAGTTTTGACGGATGTTCGGTAAGTGCCGAGTTTGAAGAAAAACCTCATCTCATTAGGAGCCTTGGAATCCAAAGGCTTGGTAGTAACTTTGCGAGATGGAGTTATGAAGGCTAAATCTGGCTTGCTCGTGGTGATGAAAGGCATCAGGAGGAATAATTTGTATTACTATGAAGGTGATACAATTGTTGGGACAACAACAGTAGCAGATTCCACCAACAAGGAGTCTAAGGTAGTCAAGTTGTGGCATATACGGTTGGGACATGCTGGTGAAAAGTCCTTGCAAACATTGGCAAAACAAGGACTGTTGAAAGATGTCAAAGTGTGAAAACTAGACTTTTGTGAGCATTGTGTTCTGAGAAAGCAGAAGAGAGTGAAGTTTGGAACAACTATCCATAATACTAAAAGTGTCTTGGATTATCCAGACGTGTTTGGGTGTACACTATGAAGACGAAGGATGAAGTTCTTGGTGTCTTCATTACATGGAAGACGCAAATTGAGAATCAGACTGGAAGGAAGATCAAGGTCCTACGAACGGACAATGGTGGAGAATATACATGTGATCCCTTTCACGAAGTTTGTCGAAAAAATGGCATTGTTAGACACTTCACCGTTAGACGAACACCACAACAAAATGGGATGGCGGAGCGAATGAATCGAACATTGGTGGAGAAAGTTCGATGTATGTGGTCCAATGCTAGTTTTGGTAAGGAGTACTGGGCTGAGGCTGTAACATACACGCAACAACTCATAAATCGATTGTCGTCATCTGCAAAAGATGGTAAAACACCGTTGGAGGTATGGTCGGGGAAACCTGTTGTTGACTATGGATCTTTACATGTCTTTGGGTGTCCTACGTACTATCATGTGAAAGATTCAAAGTTAGATCCAAGAGAGAAAAATGCTTTGTTCATGGGAATCACCATTGTTGTGAATGGATATCGTGTTTTGTGTCTTGAGACGAACAAAACTGTGTTTAGCAGGGATGTTACATTTGATGATCAAGGTATGATAAAGACAACGCAAACCCAACAGGTGGAGTTGACACCGAAGCAGGTGGAGATAGATGCGATGACGAGACAACCAGCTATGATCGACGAACCAATATCAAACGATTCATCGGATGATGAAACACGGACTCAAGAATCATTAGATTTGCCCATTGCATTGAGAAAACCCAGATGAGAGATTCAACAACTGCTCGATTGGCGGATATGGTGACTTATGTACTTTCAATTGTTGATGATGACATACCTTTCATTTTTCAAGATGCAATTCGGAGTTTAGAAAATGAGAAGTGGAAAAGGGATATGGAGGAATAAATGTTATCTCTTCAGAAGAATCAGACTTGGAAGGTGACGCAACTACCAAAAGGCAAGAGGGCGATGGGATGCAAGTGGGTATTTGCAAAGAAAGATGGATTTCCTCATAAGAATGATGTGCGCTACAACGCAAGATTGATGGCTAAAGACTATGCTAAGAAGGAAGGAGTTGATTATAATGAAGTGTTTTCTCCAGTTGTTAAGAACTCTTCCATTAGAATTTTGTTGGCCTTAGCAGCACAGTTGGATTTAGAGCTAGCTCAACTTGACGTGAAGACGACGTTCTTACACGGAGATTTAAATGAGGAAATCTACATGACTCAGCCAGAAGGATTCAAAATTCTTGGAACAGAGAATTGGGTCTGTAAGTTGAATAAATCATTGTACGACTGAAGCAATCTCCGAGACAGTGGTACAAACAGTTTGATAAGTTTATGATTGGGCATATATACACACAAAGCAGACATTGTCATTGTGTGTATCTATGCAAGCTGCAAGATGGATCTTTCATTTACTAACTTTTGTATGTGGATGACATGTTGGTTGCATCAAAGAGCCAAGTGGAGATTGATCATTTGAAGGCTCAGTTGAATCAAGAGTTTGAGATGAAAAACTTGGGGGAAACCAAGAAAATACTCGAGATGGAGATAAGCAGGGACAGAATGAGAGGCAAGCTTTGTTTGACTCAGAAGCAATATCTGAATAAGGTACTGTAGTGTTTCAGCATAAAAGAAGAGACGAAGCCAGTAAGTTCACCACTTGCCCCTAATATTAAGTTAAGTGCCAAATTATCGCCAAAATTGTGATGAAGAACGAGAGTACATGGCTAGAGTCTCATATGCAAATGCAGTTGGGAGTTTGATGTATACGATGGTGTGCACAAGGCCCGACATTTCACAAGCACTTGGTGTTGTTAGCAGGTATATGCATGACCCTAGTAAAGGTCATTGGCAAGTTGTGAAATGGATTCTATGGTACATCCATAGTACTGTTGGAACTCCAGGAAAGGCAAGTCCATAAGTTCTCTTTGGTGGCCAGGTCCTGCTCTTGTGAGGTGTACTCACGCACAGATCTGTACCCACTAGTGCAGCATGTCAGACTGGCTGAAGAAGACCTGATTGACCGTTGCAAGTCAATTGCAGTTATCTGTCTAAGTCTCCTTTGTGAAAGGGAATGTGACGTTGGATTAGTTTATGAGCAGGATGAATTTGGTCAGTGTGTAGTTATATAATGTGATTCCGACTACGCAGGTGATTTGGATAAGCGAAGATCAACGACTGGATATTTGTTCACTTTTGCGAAAGCTCCAGTCAGTTGGAAGTCTACCTTACAGTCAACAGTTGCTTTGTCTACAATAGAGGCAGAGTATATGGCGGTTATTGAAGCTGTGAAAGAGGCTATTTGGCTTCAAAGTTTGTTTGAAGACTTGAGAGTTGGTCAAAGTCATGTCTTAGTGCATTATGACAGTCAAAGTGCTATTCATTTAGCGAAAAAATCAAGTATTTCATGCAAGAACTAAGCATATAGATGTTCGCTATCACTTTGTGCGGGAGATTCTAGAAGATGGAACTATTTGTGTTGGCGCCGAGAGGCGCATTTGGAGGCACCGCCAGCAGTTGATTTGGATTGAAGAGTCGAAGTGGGAGCAAAATTAGTCAAGGTAGAGATTGTTAGATTTTGATTAATTGTTGTTCCGCATCGGATATGTACCAAAGCTGTGTAGGATCTTTTTAATATAAATAGGTCTCTTGCCTTTGGTTTACAATTGCACCTTATTCTATTCTCTCATCTCTTAGAAGGAAATCTTTAATTAAGGAAATCCTAATTTTTGGGTTATTTAACCCTAGTTGTATTTTGTTGGTGAGTTTAGTAAATTTGGCGTTGCGGTTGGCGGTGCCCGGAGACATAAGCAATATTTGCCGAACTCCGTTATCAATGTTTGTGTCCTTTTTATTTCTCGTCTTTTATTTATTTGTGTTGGCTTATTTTCGTTTGGAGTAGTGCTTGCCATATTTGTTGTAGGGGTAGTTTTGTCCGCTGCGCTTGGTGTTCTACTCCAAGAATACCCGCTCATGAAGAGGCCTTACCGGCTGCCGATGGGCCTGCCGGGCTTGTGCTCATGTGTTTGGTGTCATCTGTGTTTCTGATCTACATAATGTCCATAGCCACCAAGACAGTGTACCTGGTGAATGGGGCTATGACTGCGGCTGGGATTGTGTGGTTTTTCTTGATGAAGCTTTGCAAGTCGAAGGGATAGTTCTGGTTTAAGAGGGTTGACAATGGCTTCCATGATGCAAGTCAAAGATATAATTCAGGTTTCTATTTTCTGTCTTTGTTGTTCTTTTTGTTTTGCAAGTACTTTTGGGATATAGGATTAGGAGTTTGTAGGACTATCATGTATCAAAGTTAGTTATGCTTCAAGTGTTCTGCTTTTGGTTTTCAGATATTTTGTCAATAATATTTTGGTGCTATTTTTTGGTTTTCAGATGTTTTATCAATAACACTAGTACGTGGCCCATGCGATGCACGGAGAACAATATTACGATTGTATTATAAATTAAATTTATAAATAACATTAATCATGATTCACCCATTGTTTTCAAAATTGGATAGGAGAAAAGTCCAACCGTATGGACCAAGAACCGGTTTATTGATCAATTCGGTTCGATTGAATAAAATGTTTAGAAGAGAACCGGTCAACACCAACCGATCAGACAGGTAGTATTGGTACGATTTTATTGGATAAACTTTGTTACATTTAAAATTAGCTTTAAAATAAATAAAAGTACATAGTTAAATAAAATAGAGATTTATAAATTATTTATCATTTACTTTGAAATTTAAAAATTTTAAATTGTTCATATATTTATTTTAATATTTTTTAATAAATGTATTATAAAAGTACTATATATATATATATATACACACTAAATTATTAATAATATAAATTCGGATTCAACAAATAAATCATTGAATAAATAACTTGATCGGTTTGAAAACGGTCCTCTCCTGAGAACTTTAGATTTACTTTATGCATATTTATACAGAAAATAAACATAATTAAGATATTTAAAACTGATCAGTTAATTTTACAATTGTCGCGATAACTCAATACAAACATGAGTTACTACATAGTAGAGATATTATGCATATCAATTATTATGTTTTTAAACATAATAATTTTTTCGCTTATATAACATATATATAAGTACTTATTATAAAAATTATTATATAATTAAATTAATTGTGAAAAATTAGCATTTACCATTACTTAATTCTTAATTCATTTATTATTTACCATTAATTTATTTTTTAATGTGAAATGATAAACGCAAACTTTTTAAACATCATGATTATTTTATATGTAATTAAAATACTGCAAATATTCGATTTAGGATATTAATGTAAATGAATAATTTCATAGTTTGAGATTTATTGTGGATAACGTAATGTCATGTCCATTTTTAAATATATTTATATTTTAAACAATTTATTAATACCACAGAATTTGGTCTTTGGGACTAGTCTCATACCGCAACTCTAAACAAGAGCCCTCACAGAGCGGTACCAGACCTCTACCGACTTGCGATCTGCGGCTAATACCGATTCCTATCCCTAACAGTCCTTCTTCCTCACCTCGGATTCATAGTCGAGCAAGTTTACTTAACCAATGACCTACTGCATGACGACGCAGGTATTGGGAAGAAGACTCTGTCGAGCGACCAACCACATGCTAACCAGGCCGGAAAAACATATCAGCTATTTTATTATCTCAAAATCGAGTTTCGAGTTGGAGAATAGAGTTCAAACACCACTGACATTATATGTCTGAGCCCCATCTATCTCTCCTTCAGTTCAGGGCTTCTTCCACCACGGGGAATTGCTGCGATTCTTCCTGAATAGTCCGAATTCTCTCGTGGAGAGTCATTTTGTAAGTTTTTCCTAAACTTGTGAGTAAGAATCTTTGCCTTAGAAAGTCAAGGTCAATTACATCTCAATTATATCGACCCAACGAACGGGCTAATTTTTTTTCAAATAATATGACACATAAATTGTTCAAAACAATTTGATAATATTTTGGCCTACAATTTTAAAAATTAAAGTGCACTATAAAAAGCAGAAAAGGTAGGACAATAGTTAAACATACAATTTTGAAAACTAAATTTCATGCAAAAGGATAAAAGTTAATTTTAAATTTTTATTCAAGAAACTTTCTTAAAAAGTAAGTCAAACTATTTAAACAAAAAATCAACTTTCTATTTTTTATTTATCCGTCAACATCTTTCAATATATAGATATAGATTTGGATAATTATTGGACTTGGCAATGCTGTCCTCAATAGCTATACGGGTTGGCCCTTTGGGCTCATTGTTTAGTGGCACGCGCCTCCATCAAGTATATGGCCTATATGGGTTGATCCTTTTAGGCCTGTTGTTTTGTAGACCTCTAAAATTCAGCCCAGCCCAAAGGCCTTCGGCTTAAGCCCATTTTGACATGCCTAACAATGTCAAATGAGGCCTAATAACTAAATAGGCAAGTAGACAATTTCAGTAGCAAGAAAGCGAGCACCCAAACTAACTATGGAGAAAGACTCATCGAGAAAGGAACAAAATAAAGGTTCTGAATTTTTAAAAATGTGTGTTGTCCTCTCGTATGTGAGAGATGTAGCATATCTAAATTCCTAACCACGGTCACAAAATAAAAGGTTTATCATTTTAATATTGCATTTACTTTATCCTCGAAATAATTGTTTTCTTATTTCTTATATGTTTCTAGCATTACGAAAAAACCTAGTAGTTATTATTTTAGATTATTTTAAGCAAAATACATTTAATTATAGATACATTTATATTTTATGATTAACTTAAGACTAATTCATTTATTTTATATTATATTAAATAATAAGTTAAGTCCATTTTTGTACGTAGTGTTAACAAATAAACATGTTAATAGTTTAGAAATAACTACTATTGATAAACATACAATATTTCAAAATAAACCTCGTAAAATGAAGGTTAATTTAATATTATATATAAAAACTGATGACAAATGAAAATATTATTAATTTTTAAAAAAGAAATGACATTAAGACATAATAAAAAAGAAAAAAAGATACAAAGTAGACATGCAACGGTATGGATATTGAATAAGAAATATCATAGTTATTAAATTTTTTTTCTTTGAAATAATTGATTGAGCATGTATAAATCTGGAAAAATGAATTTTTTTTCTAAAGTTATTAATTTCCTCATTTTTTTTTTTCATGAAGAGTAGTGTCGATCTCAAAAAGAAGTAATCGGGACTGGGATCGTCTAGCTAGTGGCATTACAAACTCTCCTTATGGTCCCGTTTGTTCCAAGCAAGAGCTCAATCTCGGACATCTTGAGCATGGAATTTGCAAAGTCGGTGCTGAAGAGATTAGGCTTGGCGCTATAGTTGGAGACTAGTGGGGCTGTAGTGGACCCCACACTAAATAAAACCTGGTCCGACTGGAAGAGACCCTTGTGACTGACGAGGTTCTTGTAGTATTTGTTGTCCAGCGTGTTTGGTGTGGCAAAGTCAAGCGGGGCCCTTTTAGTACTTTCCCCGTTACACGTGCGATTCAGTTGGGCAGCAAAGCCAGATTCGATGTCGGATGCGTTAATATTGTCTATCCTCGATTGGAAGAACATGCACCGGGCTTGGCCTATAGAGTGTGCACCTAATTTATATTTAAATGGAAATTGTTAATTAATTTATACTTAATAATAATAATTATTTAAAAATTGTGAGATAAATTTGATTAGTGACCGTACCTGAGAGGGCGACCATTTCCCTTTGATTGAGCCCTTTTTTGGCAAAAGCAGCAGTGAGGTCTTCAAGGGTGGAAAATGGGCTTGGTAGATCGGTGTTTGCGGCCTCAAGGTTAAACGTTTTGGAATCTCTTCTCCCCAGCTTCACGGCCCATGACGGCCCGCCACTCTAATAAAATTGAAAATATACAAACCAAACACACCTTCAACTATATATTGTTTTGTAAAATACTACTCTCTCCGATTCATATATAATATATGTCATTTTGAAAAATTGCACAGTAAATAAATTTATTTTTTTTTTGCCAATAATCTTTAATGAAAATATAGGTGAATGTTTTAGAAAAAAAATGAAAAGTGAATATGAAAAGGTGAAATGTATTTATTAGCTAAATGGAGGTAATAATAAAAAAATATGTATAAAAAATCGAAAACGTCATTTATTTAGTTAATAGTTAGTAAAGAAAAAATGACATTTAAAAAGAATATGTAGGAATATATCTAATCTACCAAGTATTGTACATATATATATATATATATATATATATATATATATATATATGTACAATACTTGGTAGATTAGATATATATGAATTATGAGATAAACTTTTGTAACTCACTTATTAATTTGGCGGCAAAATTTATGTTTTCTTCTAGGTAAGTATTAGCTCGTGGCATTATATATCTGATTATTACTTCGTTTTTAAAATGTCAAATTGGGACACAATAATTTAAAAATCTGGCATTTAATTTGTGGACAATCCCGTGACGAAACGTAATTCTGAAATTAATCAACATTATATAAGCTTGAAAAATTCGTAGACAAACCCGATTTTAGCCACTACGGACCACAATTTATCATTTTTAGTCCATTTTTTCTTATCTTAAATGATAATCTATCTGTCTTCACATATATTTCTTTTCATAACTATTTGCACAAAAAGAGTGTAATATTTCTTCTTTTATATATATTTCCGAAAAATCAATTTTTTTTCGCGTCCACTTACCAAAACAGCAGCATCACGTGCTGCCACGGCCAGAATATCCGCACACGATACCACACGAGGGCATATCCTCTCGACAGCTGTCTTGGCGGCCTCGATCACCTCGTAACCTCTTACAGAATTTGCATTTGGGCCGGCCGATTTCTCACTATTGATACCGTCCAGCAAGATCGAAGCATCACAGCCCTGCACGAAGCAGTCATGAAAATGGAGGCGGATTAAGGAAGCCGCCATGCGGGACTCGCGCTTAACGGCCTGCTGGATGGTAGCACGGATTGTACCCAGTGCATTGGGACAGGTACGGGCGTAGAAAGTCTCGGATAGTTGGGCTTGGGAGAGTGTGAATATGAGTGACAGTGTGGTTAGTGTAAGGACGAAGTTGGCGGGCTTTGAGTTTTCCATTATGTTTTTGGACTTTGAAGTTGGGAAAGGCAAAAAAATAAAATATAAAAATGATACCACAATTTATTTTTTTATTGGCTGGTAATGTTGATTGACAACTAAATTGTGCATTGTTATATTTATAGGGGATGGGTGGTGCGATTGATTGTTAAAAAGTTAGACGCGTTGTTGACATAAACTTTGTTCGTTTTAGAAACAATGGTCACTACTCACTAGGTACTATGATGATTGTTTGGTTAATTAATTAATTTGTGTCAAAGTTATTGCTTAATTATTGCATGGATCCACGATATAATTTTTGTGTTCGTCCAATATATAACTAGTGTGTACCCCGTGCAATGCACGGGAACAATATTAAATTAACAATATTATAAATAGACCTCGAGTTTGAGTCACTCAATGGCGGGAGTGGAAATTATTATTGCTCCTATTTAAAAAGAGGAAGAAAAAAAAAATAATTATAAATTAAAAAAGAGGATAAACAATACTTAATAATTATAAATTAAAGATTCGGGGTCAAACAATGTAAAATTATTTTGTATAAGAGAATATGAAAAAAATTGATTACACACCATCTCAAAATTATTATTATACTTTTTTGTATGGTTAGCTTATAATATTTGTAAAAATATTAGTAATTAGACCGATAAAAATTAGCTTCTTAAAGTAGATAATGGATTTCTAGTAGTAATTATGAATTGGTTTCTATTTTATTTTATTTTTTCAAATCTGTATAGACAAGGGATGGGATTTTTTAAACACGGTATGCAATGAGATTTTGTAACAGAAGAGATAAGCTCGTGTAGATTTATACTAAAAATAGGAAAAAGAAAAACAAATATAAGTCAAACAACGGTTTTGATAAACTAAAAAACAGGAGAACAAATCTTTACACAATTAATGAGCCGATTTTTTTGCCTATTCAGATTTGTCCAACAATTACTATATGTAGGATATATTTAATGATTTTGGCAGGAAAAAGTTTCTAAATTTGTAAAAAAGTTATTCTTTTTATATAATGATAGATTTGCAAAATAAGTACTGGAGTGAAATTATTTGGGGGTCCATATATCAATTGAAACCCTTTCAGAATTTTTTAAAACTTTTTAAATCGGGGGACTTTGATATATTTGTGAATCTTTAATGACATTGATGGATTTTTTGAACTTTTCATAGAATTGTAAAAAGAGACTTTCTCAAACTTTCATAATGTACTTAGTAAAAATTTTTAGAAAAATGCTAAAGTCCCGTAACGGAACCAGTCCTCCAAATAAACCTTTAGTAAAAATTGACATATCAGCATTTGTTAACTGCAACTAAGGGTTCCTATCAAATTAAAAGATCTAATGATCAATATTGAAAGAACGGAATCATACCGGGACTGTAGCAATTTCCAAAAGTTTATATACTTATAATATAACTATTACATTTGCATTAATTTTTCATACATGCATCATAACCAATATCTTTTTTTTTTTCCAAACTGCATACTCTCATAAATAGAACACATAATTACATGCAGATAACAACCGATAACAACCGAAAGAGCGATTACACAACTGAAATCATTGGAAGGACAATCCGAATGGCAGCCTAATCGAAAATGCACAACACACCCACAAACTCCCAACATGATAATACAACTCCCAACATGAGAATAAAAACAACACACACAAAACAAGAAAACACAAACAACACACCTAAAAATAATAGAGTAATCCCTCCCCACCAGCTGACCGGCAACCCAAACCTTAGAGCTGTGGCTCCGAGCATGACACTAAAAACTCCTAACCAACACCGGCTAACCAGATCCCGCCCAAACACCAATACCCCCTTCCAAAGGTACCCACTTCTGTAAAATTCAGGCGACTCACATCCAGCCACACCCCAACGCAAGCCAACAACCACAACCCCCACACGACCGGAGCTAAAGGCTGCCGCTATCGGAGAATCCCTCCAATCCCAACACCAGAGATTGGTCGGACACAGGCGAGAGCTAGACACGAACTCCGGCCCAAACAGCCTTCAGAGGCGCCATTTTGTTTGCAGTATTTTTGGGTATGTGGTAAACTAGTTACCCGGACTCGGGTCGTTCTAAAAGGAAGGCTGTTCGGAGCTTCGTTCACTATCTAGTCGTCAAAGTCACATAACCAAAAACAAGGTCCTACACATGGTACTCGCTTGATTGGGGATGATTGCACGAAATTAAACTAAGAATCTAAGAGCAATTGATGAACGATGCAAGAATCGAAATAAAGATCAAAACATTTGTAGAACGGAGTATCCATAACTCAAGAAAACAAAAATAAAAAAAGAGAAACATGCGAGCATAGTGATCCTAGGTAACCGAACACGAGCTTTCTACACTAAATCATAACGATTTGAACAAAGTCGAGACCTTTATATTAGATAAACACGTATTGATTCCTAACACACGAAGCGAGCAATGAAAATAAAGCAAAAACCTAGAAATGAGCATAACACAAAATTCGAAGAACAAACTCAAAGTAGTAAGTCCTAAGCAAAGTACTTACTCTCCTATCGCGTGCCCGGACGAAAATAATGAATAAAGCTTGGAACTTGGATAAAAATAAGCTTGCCAGAATTTTGCCTGGAGAACGAGTTATGAACCTCCAAACCAAAGCATAAATATAAAAGAGAGAAAATAGAGTGGATTTTCCAACTTAAAAGTTGGAAAATGAGGGGTTATGTTCAAAAATACAAAGCACAATGTCTATTTATAGCTACACCACAAACACACACTAGAAACACACATTTACTAAAATTCTGCAGTTCGCGGGTCTCGAAACCAGTTTCGCTGAGAGTGTGGGAGTGGAGTAGTGCAGCTAGGCGCGTTCGCGGGTCGCCAAAGTAGTTTCGCAGCGAGTTCGGGCCTTGGGTAGCTGCGGAATTGCGTTTGGCGCGGCGCGAATCCTTGTTCGCAGCGAGTGCGCGGGAATGGAGTGGTGCGCGCCTGTTCGCGGATCGCGAGTGAAGACTCGCAGCGAGTGCCAGCCCTGGGAAGCTTACGCTTCGCCGATCACCAAGACACTTCCGCTGCGAGTGCCAGCCCTGGGACGCTTGCGCTTCGCAGGTCGCCAAAGCACTTCCGCAGTGAGTGTCGCGCCTGGCTGCTGCGCGCGATGTCCGTGTCGCGGGACGCCAAACGGATCTCGCAGCAAGCTTGGGCTAAGGCTGGGGTGTGTGCGCGCTCCATCTCGCGGGGCGCGAGTTCTTTCTCGCAGCGAGTGTGGGTGCGGCTGGTTATCTTCGGGCTAGGCTTGCGGCTCGATCAAGCGGCTCGGGTGGCTCGAAAATGATTCGAACGACTCGTCTTCTCATGACTGCAAATTGGACCTAAACAACACACCAAAAGAGATGCAAAAATACGGAAAAATACAAAAACACATAACGAAAACGAAAACACATAAACACGAAAAAGTGGACCGGTTGACAATCAAACGAACCTAAAAACAACTCGACTAAAGCACATAAAACACAAGAAAATACCACAAAAACATAACAAACAACTCCCCCACACTTAACTCTTTGCTTGTCCTCAAGCAAACAAAACAACAAGTAGCTCAAAAAGATAAATTGAAAAGTCCAAAATTAATGAGCATGTGAAATGAAACTCTCATCTTCATCTGGTTATCCATAAAATGAAACTCCAATCCGATAATACGTTCCCCACATAATGAATCCATAAAAAACAAAAATCCGTTCCAAGTTATCCTACACATGATGACTCGATTCAAACTACTTTCTTCTACATACACGTGCAAAAAACTATAAATGGTCTACTACACATATAAGGATGATAAGCATGAAACCAATAAGTCAACTCCAATTCTTATTTTTATTTTTTTTATTATTTTTTTTTTACTTTTAATGAGCTACTTTTTCCAAATGAGAGCTGTTAGGACGATTATTACCTATGTTTATCCTCGGGGTTTGTCCCCGAGTCTCCTAGGCCGGTTTTCCGTACTCATTGACCCGATTTGGCAACCGGGCCAAGCGGAGTCTAATCCTTTCAACTCTCACAAATTCATTTTCATGAGCTTCTTTTTCCAAACGAGATTTCCGGACTATGTTTATCTAGGTTTAACCTCGAGGGTTTTCCTCGAGTTTTCTAGACCGATTTCCCGGGCACATTGTCCCATTCCATGAAGTGTCTCAGGATAAGAGGAGTCTAATCCGTACTTTCTCACGAACTCACATCTTATTTCCCTTTTTTTTTTCGAAGGGAGTAGCACACAAGGATACATCACGAATACAATATCATGGACATCATAAATCAACCCAAACGTACCACAAGCGTATAGCATAACATGTTTAGAATAGTCGAACATAAGGCAAGAATGTCTCAAGATCACCAATCGAGAACAAACAAGGGACAAAACAATTTCGAGAATTCACATGTGGGTTCTAATGCCAACGAATTATCATTCAGTTTTAGGACACCGTCCAATTCATCAAGTACATAAAGCATGAACGTTAATAATGACACCAATCAAGAATCTCGACTCACCACTTAGCTATCTCGACTTTCGAACAAACATTGAGCATCATGCGGGAGAGACGACACAAACACACTAAAACTCAAACAAAATCGGTCCAAAACACGACAAATACGAAAAATAAAACACCAAAAAATGAAAGAAATATCGCCTAACATGCATAATCACGAAATCTCTCTCTCTCACTTAAAACAAAGCAATGTCCTCATTGCTTGACCAAAAAGCATAGGAGAAAGCACATAGTCATGTAAGCTCATGCGATTTAAAAAAAATGAAACACAATAATCAAACATACAAAAAGAAGAAAAACACGAAAACACCCAAGAAACAACTAAAAGAAAAAGAAAAGGGGAAAAGAAAATGTGTACTCTACACGGTGGTGTTCCACCATGTGTCCAATGGTGTTCGTCCAATGGGAATAACGAAAAATGATCCGAAGGTCCTCGAGTGCAAAATAAAGTCATCCGACCCATTGAACAATGAAAGCATATCGATCCATAAGCCAACCGGGCA